GCCATCAGATTCACCATGGAAGTCGAAAAATATGGCAAGCTACCCTTTTTGGATGTCCTAATTAGAAGGAGACCTGATGGTTCAATGAGCCATTCTGTCTACAGGAAAGCCACCCATACGGATGCCTACCTAAAACCGGATTCCCACCACCATCCATCCCAGAAGAACTCCCTCATCAAGACTCTATACCATAGAGCCCAGTGCATCTCCGACCAGGAACACATTGCCAGTGAACTCAAACACGTACGCCAAGCTCTTAAGGCTAATGGTTACTCCGACTACACAATCCGAAAAGCCATCACTCCAACCATCAAGAAGGATCCTGTTGAGGAGCTATTCAAAACCATCACCTTACCCTACATTGCTGGGGTCACAAAAAAGATCTCCAAAATCCTGATTAAACACAAGATTCAGGTCCGATTCAACACAGTACATAAAATCCGTGATCTGGTCCCGCCTGTAAAAGACGTGGTTCCAGACATACAGTACCCTGGCGTCTACAAACTAAGTTGCCTCTGTGGTAGCAGTTACATTGGAGAAACCAAACGCCATGTCTCGGAACGCATCCGTGAACATAAAGCAGACCTGAAACACGGTAGGACAAACACCTCAGCCGTGGCAGATCACTGTTACAATTCAGTGGGCTCACATGACATTGACTTCTCCAAGACAGAGGTTATCTGCAAGCCATCTGGCTACCATGAGAGATTCGTTCATGAGGCGATCCACATATACAAACACAGAGACAATTTCAACCGAGAAGATGGATTCTGGCTCAGCAATCATTGGAAGGACGTAATAAACCATTTCGGATCTTAATTGATTGTTGTTCACGTTTACGGTGACTTTCAGACCGCAGTCCACTCACTGGCATTAACTGTGTATCTTGTGTTCTCCAGAGGGAATGCATTATTTTCTCCGCTGCGGGTCTCCTGCCACCGTTTTCCCATTCACATGTTTCATTGCTTCTACATACTATTAACATTCCTCCCCTTTGTTAATGCTACCCCCTGCCCCCTCCCTTTGGTGCTGCTGATCCTGCATAATGCATGGGCATAATATGACTTTGAAACCCCCCCGCCCACCTCCTACGCATTTCCCATGAATATGCTAAATTCCTCTTGATATGCACATTCTTTTGTTAAGGCGCTCTTCTTCCACCTGCAACTCAGCTTATATATAAGCTCCTAGCTTGGCAGTGTCTCATTCTTCACCTGAAGACGGCTGCTTGCGTTGTAGCCGAAACGTCGTGAGAGTTATTTTGTTACGTTTTATTTTTATTATTTTATTGCTTCCCTTCTACGTGACTTTACCGAAAAAACCAAGAAGATGAAAACCTGCAGTCACGAAAGCTTTAAATCGAAATTTAACCGCCTCTACGGGGAGGGATTCCACATAACTTTGAGATCCTTCAACAAGCTCCGTTTTAAGAAGGCTCAGCTAATCGAGTCTCTCACCTTTCTGAAGAGATGCCGCGACTCTAAGGTAATACCAAACGCATTTACACTAACATCTGCTGCTGTAACTTCTTCTAATGCTAAACGAATTCTGTCTAGAACTAGCTTAGCTCTTATCTCAGAAAAAATCAGACTTACGCGCACCGAACTAATCCGTTCTAGCTAAAGGACTAAACTTTGCAGTCACACCTAGACACATACCAGTTAATGATATAATTGCCCGAGTAAAAGTAGCTCTCAAGGGCCTGAGTCACATCGCTGCAGACGAAGCAAGATCGAAATCTCTGCAACCCTCAAAAATTCTAAGATGCCTGCTAGCAACATCAGCAAAGATGAGCGTTTTGAATTAGCTCAATTAAAAAAGAGGGATGACATTGTCGGTGGCAAGCTCCAGGTTCAGCAGCAGCACCTCGACCTCCTCCTCCCAGTGAGCAGCTATTACCAAATCATCGGCATACATAACGTGGTTGACCAATAAGGAGCCATCCCTTGATCGCACCCGGGCGTCGATCAGCCTCCCATTATATCTGTACCAAATGGAAATTCCCCCGGTACAGCTATTGAAGGCTTCACGAACTACGCGGTCAAAATAGATGTTAAATAATGTGGGAGCCAGAGGACATCCCTGTCGCACCCCAAGGTGTACAGGGAAAGGTTCTGACTCCCGGCCACGTAGTTTTACCCGGGCCCGCTCACCATCATGAAGGTCCTTAATGATCGTGAGCAGAGGGTCAGGGTCTCCGAAAGCACGAAGAACAACCCAGAGGCCAGGCCTACTGATGGTATCATAGGCCTTGAGCAGGTCAATAAAGTACACGCATGGACTAAGACGCACACATGGGTCTACAGACACACAAAGAAATGGACTTACACTGACTAACATGGAGGCATGCACATACAGCAACTAACACACACGCACATGGACTGAGACACACACACACACATATGGACTAAGACACACAAACACATCGACTTACAGACGCACACACATATGGACTCACACACACATAGACATGCACTTGAGATATGCACACATGGAGTTACACACACATATCGACGTACACACATACAGCGACACACACACATACATAGTGACACACACATTGCCGTACACACACATACACATGTGGACTCTCACACAGACATCCACTTGAGATATACTGTACACACATGGAGTTGCACACACATATATGGACGTACACACATACAACGACTCACACACACTGACTTGCACACAGCAATACGTGGACTAAAAGACACATTGACGTAAACACACATATGTACTTACACACACACATATGGACTAAGACACACACACATGAACTTACACATACATAGACTGACACACATAGCCCTGCACACACATATTGACTGTGACACACAGATATCTTCTTTAGGTACACAGACATGGATTAACACACATATGGACTCACACACAGACGCATTGACTTACACACACACATCGAGTGACACACACATGTATAGACTTACACACACATGTGGACTAACACACACACATATGGACTGACATACACATGGACGTACACGCACACAGATCGACTGACACACACACATGGACTAACACACACACATAAACACTTTGACATTGTCCGTTCGAAAAAGACACCCACATGGAGTTAAAGACACGCATGGCTCTACACGCACACACATGGACTCAAAGACACACACATGGACTAACACACACACAGCGACTTATACGCACACAAATGGACTGACACGCACACTTGGACTGACACACACATATAAACACTTTGACGTACACACACACATGGGGCGTTGTCCGTTCGAAAAAGACAGACACACACATGGAGTTAAAGACGCGCATGGCTCTACACGCACACACATATGGACTAAAAGACACACACATGGACGGGCATAGCAATCCTCGATGATGGCACAGCTATCAGTATGGCAGTACTGCGTATGAGGAAAAAGCGTGACGTGAGCGATGGAAACAATAGAAATGTATTGAAGAAATAATCAGAAATCACAGATTGGCAGTATACCGTGGCAGCGTCATAAAAGCGCAGCAAAAAAGGGAAAATTGAGCAATGTAAAAATGCAAAAAGAGTTTTGTGCACACAAACATAACGATTGTAACATCGGTCAACTTGTTTGATAATGGTAAACAATGAACCTGAGTTGTTATCTGCACACAATATCTGGCAACGTGTTTGTTTAATAATAAGCAATGAACACGATTAATGATCTGCACACAAACAATATTATAGTAATGTTTGTCAACCAATGTGTTTAACAATAATAAACAATGGACTTGAGTTGTTAGCGTAAGAAGCAAGGAAATTTGTACTTAGCATAGGCATGTTGAGGCCTTGTGCGATGCGTAGCCCCCGTCCTGGCCTACATTGGCGAGGCGCAGAGTTGGCACGTTGCCAGGCTAGGGGCTGGGCCGCGACCCCCTCTCCAACATCCGCCGCCCGTGCAAGAATAATGCTATGTAAGCAGTAAAATATGATTATCTACGGAGTCTGTAGTATAAACTAAACGAATCGTGTTGGGGGGGGGCGAAGAGGACATGACACTGTGAATAAATATCCGCAGCGTGATGTGTGTACGTGTTGACTGTAAAACGCGTAAAATAAAATGTCTCCCATGAGCTGGAGCGAACGCGCATGGCTTGGCAGGGTCCGCCCCCCCCCCCACGCAATTGGCGTCACTTGGTACGGTCGATGTGGTGCAATAAGTAAATAATGAATAATAGAAACGGCACAAATGTGTTAATTAAACTACTTTAAAGTTTACGGACGGGAAAACGGAATAGCCTATTCCCACCACGGGGCTTAGGGCGTACCGCCTGGCAAATTATTTCGGTCTTTTACCCCATTGTCCGAGAGCCAAATCCCTCGCAAGCTCGAGCGCACGGAGACTTTTATATATAAGAAAAAAAGATAAAGAAGAAAGAAAGAAGAAGAAGATAATTGATTTCTCAAACTATCTTAGAATGTATTGTTTACAGATGGATGCATGGAAAAATATCAATTATGCCTCTGTTAAAAAATAAAAATGCTTAACAAACATTAAACGGAAAATAGGGGCAACATTTTTCTCAGTTTACCAAAAAACCTCAGCCTAGATCTGCCCTTGGAGTTTGGGGGTGGAGGCGCTTATTGCATGGTTCACATAGGGCGCCAAATGCTGGCAGCTAGTCTCGGGCCACCCCTGAGAGAGAAATATGCAAACTCCATTTATATATAAGCCATCAGGGTCGGGATTAAAACCTACAACAACTCTGCATACCCAAACGAGGTAGTTAACATCTCCTAGCCACCGTGATGATGATCAGAGACAGAGAGACGCAAATTCCAAACATACAGCATGCATCAGGGTCGGAATCGAACCCACGACCTCCTGTATACTAGGCAAGGCAGTAAACATCTCCTAGACACCGTGGCATGGGCGCTACCGTTACCATCACGAATTTAAACCGAAGGAACGCGCATTGGAGAGCACGCACGCACGCTGAATTATGTTGTTCACGAACGTTCCACTCCATCTTCTTACCTGACTTAGTCACGTGCACCGCCACCGCCATTACCGTTATGAGGAAGGCAGACTCGCGGTGGTTCATGGTTGGGAGCTCCTAGGGCGGGTTACAAGAGACAGGGATGAGGACAGGGCAAGGTAGGAGCCAGCACAACACACAGGGTCCCGTTGTGACCAGTTATATACACTTTACACTACAATACACTACTATACACTAAACAACTATACACTACACTTTACACTACATACTGCACTACTATACACTGCACTAATTTACACAACACACTACACTATTATACACTACGCGATTATACACTCCACTACAGCACTGTACTACATTTAAAACGAATAATTTGTTCTTGTTATTTATGTATAAACTTTTTTCTACTAAGTAGTATGGTTTTATTTTTCGTCTGTTTTGTACGGAACTAAATGAAGCTATATGAAATGAAATAATTATTATTACGGTGCGAAATAAGTTCAACATAGATACACATAAGCATAGCGTGCACCAGTCGGTACTTGCGTTGCATTGCGTTCTTGTCTCCAGGGACTGGTGCAGGAGAACGACATTGCTCTGCACGACCGCTGCCCGCGTGTCTGTTTCTCTAGCGCAGCGATTCTCAGAGGTGCGGTCCCCTGACCCAGGAGTGACCATCACAAATGATAGCAGCAAACATGTCTCCTTGTAAAAAAGGTGTCAGTTTTGTTGGCAGATAAAAGGGTAAAAAAACAATTATCACATTTTGCTACTGGCAAAGGAGGTTCCAATGGTGTAGATGCTTAACCCGTGCTTTCATACTCTGATGGTGCATTGTCTTTGAGTTGTGCGCCCTTTGGCGTCATCTGGTCCAACACCATGTGAGACTAGGCTCTAAAAAAAGTTGTCTCGGGTGTGGACCAATCAATTTCAAGGACAGTGCATACATTATTAAAGTTGTGTTTTTTTGTTTGCATTCCGACCGCAGCTATTGTGGTCAATGCAAACATGTCTCCTTGTAAAAAAGGTGTCAGTTTTGTTGGCAGATAAAAGGGTAAAAAAACAAGTATCATATTTTGATACTGGCAAAGGTGGTTCCAATGGTGTAAATGATAGCAGCTCAACAGAAGTGGCTTATCATGTGGACATTTATAGCAGCAAAATAATCTACATGGCATGTTGATTCTAAATTTGGAAGGAAACCAGGAGGACCCGGAGACAGGAAGAGAGAGATGCACACTCTAAATGTACAATGGGCATCGTGAGTCGGGATCTAACCCACGACCCCTTGCAAGGGGGGTAACATTTCGTCACTGCGGCGCCCCACGTTCACTGCACGTCACCAAAAAGTCACGCTTTGGAAAACCCTTTCAATGGAAGTGTAGCCGGGTATGAGCTCACCTGTAATTAATCACACGTATAAGTGTGCATTCTGCAAATAGCTACAGGTAGCCAGGTGCTTTTTATTATTTCAGTGAATGCCAACGGTGATCAGCGATTGGACCACGAGCCCCCCCACGTGCAAAGCAGAGAACGAGCCACGTCCCCAATTTATATTTGCGCGGACTTCGTGCTGGTGAACTGCACATGTGACATTAGCTCAGGCCCGGATTAATGTTCTTGTAGGCCCTAGAACAGGGGTGGGCAAACTTTTTCACTCGCGGGCCACAATGGGTTCTAAAATTTGACAGAGGGGCCGGGCCAGGAACAGATGGATGGAGTGTTTGTGTGAACTAATATAAATGACATGTAAAAATCATTACATGAAAGGATTTGGCCTTTAACAGGGAGCAAATCATTTATTTGCAAGGCAATTTAACAAATTGCACGAACATGAACAATACAAAAACATGTCGTAACGTGACTGATCAAACATCATGAAAACATCTGAGGCCTGCGCCGAAACCAATTACCTCACTTGAACTTCTTTATTATCTACATTAACAGGTTAGAGCAGCCACGCAGGCTGTGTGTCAGAGATTTGGCTCCAACGTCGCTGCAGCAACACATCAAAATTTTCAGTTTCAGTGGGAACAGTGTTGTTGATCTCCCATTTTTGCCAGTGCATCCAAGTCTGGAGTTATTTTGGTTATGGCAATTCTCAGGATATATCTGAGGTGCTGATCATGACGCTGAATGTCTGCTCACACACATAAGTCGAGCCAAACAAAGTCAGTATCTTCTGTGCAGTCCTCCGGAGGTTTGGAAACGTGGCTCTGTTAAGTGAAGCATAAAAGTCATTCAGTTTAACAGAGTTGAACTTCTCCTATAGGACGGAGTCAGACTGAAGATCTATCAGTTCCAACTGCAGCTCCTGTGGTGCTGTTTCAGGGTCTTGTGACAGGGGACAGGACACCAGCTGAAGTGACTGTTCAATGTTTTCGAAATCAGAGAACCTACAGCAGAATTCTCCGTGCAGGTCCTCAAGTGATTTGCTGTATTGTTTTGCGTTTCGCGGTGCCTCTTCCTGCATGGCAAGTGTGGGGAAATTAGCGAAAGATTTGTTCGCAATTTGTCTGGAGAACAAAGTGAGCTTGGATTTGAAGGCTTTCACATGTTTGTACATGTCGTGAACAAACTGATCTTTCCCCTGCAGTTTCACATTCAGCTCATTCATGTGTGAAAATATGTCCAAAGCAAACGCAAAGTCACTAAGCCAGTTCTTGTCGCTTCGCTCAGGGAATTCGTCAGATTTCCCCATCCACTCCAAAAATGCGATGATGTCCTCTTTCAGCTCCCACACTCGTTGTAGCACTTTCCCTAAACTTAACCAGCAGACACGAGAGTGGTACAGCAAGTCCTGATGGTCCGCATCAGTTTCCTCCAGGAACGTAATAAACTGACGGTGCTGAAGTCTCCTTGCTTGTATAAAGTTCACAGGTTTTACGACTGGATTCACGACATGATTAAGCTGCAATACAGACTTACACAGGGATTCCTGATGGATGATGCAGTGAAGGAAAATAAGATCCTGGACAGGGTTTTCTTTTTTCACTTTATCCTGGATTATTTTCAGCAGCCCAACATTTTTTCCAGTTAAATTTGGCGATCCATCCGTTGTGACATTGACAAGTTTACTCCAAGGTAGCTTCATTCTTTCGATGACAGCAGATACCTGGTTATACAAGTCCTCTCCCCGCGTTGTTCCTTTCAGGGGCTCCATGGTCAAAAACTCCTTTGTTATCGCAAAACTGTCGTCAATGCCTCGGATAAAAATGAGGAGCTGAGCAGTGTCTTTTATGTCCGTACTTTCATCCAGTTCTAGTGAATATAATTCAAAGGAATCAGACTTTTTGTTTAATTGACTGGCTATATTTTCATCAATCAGTTCCACAGGGCGAGTCACAGTCCTGCGTGATAAACTGACTTTTTCAAATTTGCTTTTGATCTCCGGACAAAATATGTCTGCTGTCTGTACCATGCATTCTTTTACAAACTCGCCTTCGGAGAAAGGCTTGCTAGCCTTTGCTATTTCGAATGCCACCAAAAAACTTGCCTTGGTAGTTGACTCTTGAATCGCAGTTTGTCGGTGAAAAAAATGTTGCTGAGTCTGTAGCCGCCAACCTCTGAGCCGTAGCCGCCCACTCTTGCGTTGACTGCTTGCTAGTGTAGTTAGCATGCTTCGTAGCAAAGTGACGGCTGATGTTGTACTCCTTGAAAACTGCGATATTTTCTCGGCATATCAGGCATACAGCCTTCGATTGGACTTCAGTGAAAAAGTATTTTGTTGTCCATTCCGTGTTAAACACTCGGCACTCATAGTCCACTGTTCGTTTCCTTGATTCGCTCATTTTACAGAAGCACCGTATCTAACTCAGCAATGTAAACTAACCCTGAAAATGACGCTGACGGCCCACAAAGCATTGCGAGATCATGTGCCCTTTCGAGCCCGAAACACCACACTCACGGTCAAAGTGCGCCCTCTAATGAGGAAATGGGGGCATTACAGGAGGAAAGTAAAATGTAATTTAATAATAATAATGATATTTGGACAAGTTCGGCGGGCCGGATTAAAAAGCCCAATGGGCCGTATACGGCCCGCGGGCCGTACTTTGCCCATGTCTGCCCTAGAAACTTCTATTTCGTAGGCCTTTAGTGATAACTTTCTACCCTTGGTACTGCTGCTGCCCATGTTAATACCGCCATTGTCACGTCACTCCACTTGCTTCACACGTACTTCGTCCAGTCGCAGCTGGACAAGATGTCGTTATTGCTAACAGGTTCATTATTTAGTTTGTGCCCTCATTCGATATGCCGCAGAAACGCCGATTGAATTTAAAACACTGCGTCTATCCTTGCTGTATTAATTAATTTATTCCAGAAGATATCTTGGTTACATTTTTTTAATCATACAAACATCACCAAAAAAACATGGTCATATTTTTTTTCGGAGGCCCTTTACTTTTCTTAGGCAGAGTCGGAACTGCCTATTGGATAATACGGCTCTGCATTAGCTCCAGTCATATATAACTGTTACACTGATATGACTTGAATGTCAATCGACTGACAGGAAATATGTAATGTCATACTCTTTGGTTCTTTCGGTAAAGTCACGTAGTTAGAAATAAAATAAATCACGACGTTTCGATCGCAACACAAGTGGTCGTCATCCTAATGACCAACACCATAAACGTTCTGACATAACAATACCAACGTCAACATCAACATTATTTAGTCTCACCAACATCGACAACACCACGACGTGTAAACATGAGTTCGATTCAAGGCCATGGATAGCATGGGTGTTGCATTAATATCTGAAAAAGTGATGATGGCTCCCTCATCTCCCCTCCATTTAACCACCAACTCGCTTTGACCAGCGTGGCGAAGTATGTTGTAGCAAATACACTCTGCATATACAAAATACTACGAACCCCCATAGAGCATAGACATATGTAGTGGTTTAACGCGCGCCAAGGGGAGTAATTGTACACACATGCGGGTGGGAACAGTGGGGTCGAATCGGGACATGCTGCTGTTGCTGGGGGCCAACGAGTGAGTCGGAGATGGACCGTTAGGCAATTATGATGCAGGGCAGTGATTGGCCGGTTGTTGTTGTTGAGTACAAGGTGGCGCCTCCAAGTCTGGGGATGGAGACAGGTGGCAGCAGGGCTGGGGGTGCGGGGGGTTAGGGGGCACGCCAACTAATTAATTGGGAATTAATGAGGGGGAGGAT